TATAATGGATTATATATTTCATTTGAGCTCATTGTCTTTTATGTATGGGCTGATTTAGAAAAGGGCTGTTTGGTAGGAGGTGATTGTGAAAGTGCGAATAAATATGTCTGAATTGTTTTCCAGATAATCCAGATTGTATGGATATCAAGAAATGTAATGAATGTGTTTTGGAATACGGCTGCGGTTGGTGTGACGGTGAATGTTCTGCTAATTGCCCTACTGATGTAAGTATACTTCCTGTCTTTACTATACGATTCTTGATTTCCAATCAAAATACTTCCTCAACTCAACTCAACTCTACTAGACATTCTTAAGCTGTGATATTGGTGTAATGAATGGAGAAGCAAAACTGACCTATTATTTAACAGCTTACATAATCGACTGTCTTCAACATAACTTAGTTTTTGATGGCCCTATACAAATTATTGATTGATTTCTAATTTGTCAATGAAGGGTGAAAGGTTTGAGGAAAGGAGTCTGACATTAATGTCATTATTGACACTTAGTTTTCTGAATGTGATAACTTGGGTGTTCATAGCACCTGCTTTAAATCGTGCAAAGTGGAGGGAGGAGGTAAGAGCGATTGCCACTAGTTTAAGGCGAATCCGGCCACCCTCGTCTTTGGGGACCAAACCGGATTTAAAACACTGGACTACTACTACACAGGCGATAACCAATCTACACATTGTCTGGATCTATGTTTTTGATTATCCTGTGTTCTATATATTTGACCACCATGGTTGTTAAAAAATTCTGCCTGACTTCTAGAAAATGGCTGCTAAGAAACTCTTTGTACACAAATGGATACATTGACATGATGACATATATTACCATGACAATAATTTATGAGATAAAAGTATGCATGTATATTCATGATATTTCTGACAAAGACATTGAACACATTGGACACTTAAAAAGTTTTTTTCGTGTGCATAAATGAGTGAAAGATTTTCACAGCTATTAAATACCGTAAAATCTGTATATAGAAGTCGCACTCTTTCTTTTTGAACAACTGAGAATGAAAAGTTCACCATTTCTTATATGTGTAGATGCTCTAATAGAAGTCGCATCCCTTTCATTTCATTGTATCATTTTAATAGAAGCTACGGCTTCTAATACAGATTTTACAGTAGTACAATTACAAAAATAAATAACTTGTACTTCTACAAAATATTCACTACTAAATAGCAAAGTCTGAAATAAAATTAAAAAACCTGCATAAGGCACAGTGGCAACATGTAGACTGGCAATATCAGTACAATACCTTGTAATACACAAGTCACTATGGTATGTGGAAGCGCCCTCTAGGCACTGTCCAAACAGTGGATTGTTGATTCGTTTCACAAGTTAATTTGTGCCAAAGTTGATTTGTGCAATATATTAGGTTAGCTCGACACAACAAGATCCAAACAACAAACTGCATCTAATCGTGTTCATCTTACATACGACAGCACCTCGAAGACTGAATCCCATTCATTTATTGTATCACACATTGCAATACGTTAATCTGTCAATTGTCAAATCAAGTTATTCATATTTCATAATTATAGTATATAGTATATAGTATACTATATGTGCCGAAATGAATCGACTTGTGGGACAAATGTGTTGGGATGAACGTGGATTGGGATGAATTGACTGTGAATCTTCTAAACATCCATTTCCTGTTATGAATGTAAATTTATATTACAGTTGTGTGACCATCTTGCAATGATTTTTGTGACTTCAAATTAAATCTCCATTGCATACAACACTGGTAACATACCCTTATTCTTTAAATCCTTGATCATAGTGTCATTAGTTACGCTCACTTACTTTGTACTTACAGCCTGTTTACTGACAATGACCAGTGTGAAGGAAATGATTACCCATGTGAGAAACACTACAGCTGTCAGCAGTGTCAACTACAACCAGAATGCTATTGGTCAACCACTTTGTGTAGAATCAGAAATGAAGGTAACTACTGGGGTATGTTGTATTGTGCGTGAATGGTTGAATAGAAACAGGGTGATTGGTGATTTCTCTCAAACTTTGTCATGCAGTCCAATAAGCATTGGTATAACATATTTTATTTTACAGATGATCAGAACATTACATGTAAATCGCCGTGTTCAGAGCAATACGACTGTCAGGCCTGTGCTAGTAATGGTTGTATGTGGTGTGCTAATTCCCAGCGATGTGTAGATTCCAATGCATATGTCACATCATTCCCATATGGATTGTGTATGTCCTGGCACAATAATAAAGACACGTGTCCAGGTAAGGATTCATCTAACTTGTGTGATGGGCAAATTACCTAAAGTTGCCCTATACCCGAAATAAAAAAAAATATATAAGAGAATTGAAACTGGGGGTTCTTCAACCACTTCTCTCTAACAGACTACTAGAGTGTATTCTGATTTTGTTGTTGTTTGGAAACTCAAAGGACTCATTTTTACAACTGTTCAAATATTACTTGAATTTTAAAGTTTTATAATATTCAATCCATTTACGTCTTGACGGTTTAGTCTCTGACTTTTGATTAGTTTGTTCTCAACCGAAAGTGCCACTATCACAACTCTAGAGGGCACATGTCACTTCTAATCACATTGTATTCATTGTACTCCATTTAGAAGTCGGCTGTTCTCAGTATCGTACATGTGAGGATTGCCACGAGAATCCCGGATGTGGTTGGTGTGATGATGGCAGTAATACAGGTCTAGGTGTATGTATGGAAGGCAAAGAAAATGAACCTGTCCTTGATAACACATGCCCAGCAAGACAATGGTTCTTCATAGGATGCCCAGGTGAGAATGACTTTATATTCACTCACTGTATTTATCTCATTTTCAGCTTCAAGAATAATACTCACTGATCAAGTTTGCTTTCTTTTATATCAGATTCTCTTAATGGGGTGTCCATGTTTGATCTCCATTCTTGTTTGAACTTTGACCTTATGAATCATCCTCACAGGGTTGTTTTAGCCTCCTGCTGTGTAGCCAAGGAAGTATAAACCTGGCTGTACAGGTCGAATTAGAAAACAAACAAGACGTACAGTTTGTGTTGTAATTTGTTACCAAGTAACCTTTGATGTGTGCAGACGGATATCTCTGGTGCTGCACACATTTTACCATTTACAATGTTTTGGGAAAGACGTTTTTTTTTATATAGTTTCCAGTCATTCATTCCAGTATTGAACAAATTTAAATATGTTGTGGTAAAATTATGTTGATTATTGTTAATTCAATGTTATGTTATTGGGTTTTAATGGCTCGCTACAAATTTAGTTAAGTATATACATGTACATGTATGAAATAAGTACAAAGGGTCATATACAATAAAGACCCCATCGATATCATGCACAAAAAAACTCTTCAGAATTACAGACAATCAATAGTTAGAAAATATTGATGTTTAGTGGTATGTATTATTCATTGTATCATGGAAGGTACTAACGGAAGGAGCCACAATGCTATTGTTTTAGCTTTACCCTATGATCGTTTGTCAATGTTTGTTCACAAACATTGGTTTTTGTTTGCTCTGGCACCTTCTTACAATGGGTTACCCTAATCTTGAGCATTCGGTAATATTCGGGGCATGTTCGGTAGCAAGATAGACGAACTGCGCATGCACAAGATTGAAAATGACGTTTAGTTGGAATGTTGTTAATTCCGGAGATCTTGGCGATTTTTATTGAAAAATTGGTAGATATACCGGGTAACATCAATTGAAGAAGAACCGATGAACTATCATGAATCTTTTTGTATTTGTAATGGTGATAAGACGTAATCAATGATTGCCTGTGACAATAACGATTGCATTAGTCAATGGTACCATCGTCAGTGCGTAGGCTTGACGCCCAAAACTGTTTGAAATTTTCGACCACCGGACACCACCAAAAAAGATAGTATCGAAAGAAGGGCATGCCTCGACACTTTCTCTGTGATAATATTTTTTAGAAGTTCTTAGGAATTTTTGTTGTAGACGCTCGAAATCATGTTCTTGTTACAATTGCTAATAATTAAAACATGTGAAATCTGTGAAATCAAGCGTCCATCTGTTGAATTTCCGGTTGTGAAATGCGCATTTTGAATATTCACACCTAAACAAACTGAGTGCGCATGTGTGATGACCGTAGTTTCATAATGCGCATATATGGTAACGTTAACTCGTTACAATCGCAAACTATCATCGACATCAAAGATGGGCTAGACAATGTCCTTGTCAGGATTAACTTGGGTTGAAACAAAAGGAAATAAGCCAGTTAAAAGGTTAGGTGGCCACATGAGAGACGTTGTGGCTCCTTCCGTTAGTACCTTCCATGATTGTATCAAGCTGAATTGCTACTCAATAATGGCTTAACATAAACAATTTCACAGCATATATGTTTTTTGCTCATTTGAAAACTAAATCTTGAATGTCAATATTCTTGTCTCAAATTAGCTCTAATCTTGAAATAATACAATACTAGGTGATATTTAGCAGGATAAAATTAGGATCATGAATAGATTTCTGTTCTGATGAAGTTCTAAGTGTAATGTTTTAGTGCGTTTGTTAAATATAGTAAAAATAAAAAAAATGAAAATAAGAAAAACATAACACTTAAGGATGAGACTCAGCTTCATATTTTTGGACATTTTTGTGTGTGCATATTTTCAAATGTTGCAAGGTTGTCTTCACACTAGTAAAACAAAATAGTTAATTTTGTACTCAGAAAAGTGCTAAATATTAAAATAAATGTGATGATAAACAACTACCCGTGTCATTGTTTTCCTGCGGGCTCAACGATGAGACTAATTAACATAGAGTTAAAGAGGATTATGCAAATCGTTGCCACATTCTCGTTGATAAGTTCTGCGCATACTCTATAGTCATAACATCAACAACAAGGCTGCAGCTAGTCCTAACAGGTATATATCGCAAGTTTTATGTAAAAAGAGAGAACCTGGCTCGCCAAACAAAAAACAAAAACAGAGGTACAGTTAGACCTAAAATTATCTGATGCTGGTTCATATTATGAGTTGAGTTGTGACTCTGATTCGGGCACTGATAACGATGATAAAGTAGCAATGCCATCCAAGAAAATTTAATAATACACAAATCTACGTTGTTTTTGAGTACAAATTATTTAGTGTAATATATCGTAGTGCGGCAACCATTGAACTTTCATTGGATATGACCAAGGCTGAGGACTGAGGGCTAGATAGAACTTCCAGATCGAGCTCTGTTATGATGTCTTTCATCACTTATGCAAAGACTAACATGGCTTTTGGCTTGATCTCACGTATTCATTACATTTTACGTTTATATTTGTT